GTGCTCAGGGACTGCACAGCAAAGAAGTTCTTCCTCCTGTTCAGGTGGAACTCCCTGGGCATCAGTTTGTGCTGTTCCCTCTTGTTTGATTGTTTCTACAACTGAGAAGAGAAGGTACCTGAAAGTTTGCCAGGCAGGGATATGGCCTAAGTTACCAAATTCCAAATGTTGACTAGTATGTTCCTCTGCAAGCAGATGAGAGTTTGTCCCACCTGCATTCTGAGCCTTTCAGGGGCTGCAGCTTTCCTGTTAGCCTGTCCCTGAATCAACTCATCCACCCTGCTGAGCAATAGGGTTAGTGGGTTGGTCTTGATATTACGCTGTCAAGGCTGTGTGGTTTGACACTGGCTTGGAGAGCTGCCTACAGACAGATCATTTGTGCCAGAGAGGGGAGGGAATGGCCCCAAAGAAGCTGAAATTGCTGGGTTTGAGGTGCAAGCTCCTGGGCCCAGTATAACATTTGAAGTAATAGATCTTTAGAAACTTGTTGCAGATATAAAGTAAGTTTTAAATACTTGACAAATTAGTAAGAAAGTATACAGAATAGTAATGTTTAAGTCAGTTGTTAATAGTTTTCTAAATTACATGTTAGGGTGTTGAGGCCCTGGGATATTGCCCAGGGAGGTGGTGCAGTCACCATCCCTGGAGGTGTTTCAGAGGTGTCTGATGTGGCACTGGAGGATCTGGGTTAGGGTTTGGGGGTTCCAGCAGTGACAGGTTGATGGTTGGACTCAATGCTCTTAGAGGTCTCCTCCAGCCCTGATGGTTCAAAGATTCTATGTGTCTTTGTAGTACAGATCCTCAACATACATGGTTCAAAGATTCTATATGTCTTTGTAGTACAGATCCTCAACATATTTTTTCAAGGCAGTGTGATTTGAGGCAGAGGGGAACACTGCTAAACTCCTGCTCTTGCCACCACTTGTCTTGCTATGGATTGTTTTGCAAACCAGTTTGTTTTTGCAAGCACACAAGGACGTTCTGAGAACATGCAATGCTGAGCTGTGTCCTTTGTGGCCAGGTCACAAGACTTCTGTTGTGAAATGTGTGGCACATCCATGAAGACAGCCCTCTTACCACTAACCTCCGGGAGCGTGTCGAGCCAGGCGGACAAGGAGGCGAAGGAACTTGCCAGACAAATCAGCTTCAAGGTGAACGCACTGTTTAAACTTTAATCTCTGCTGTATAGAATGTAAAAAAACCCCAAAATACTGAGGAAAAACTTGGAAAGCACAGAAACATTCATCCTTTCAGGAAACCTTCCCCAGTCCTTTTGGGGAAGCCTCTTCTTTTGTCCAGTCTGAAAGGGAAAAATAAGAGTGGATCTCTTGCAATCTGCCAGGGAATAAATCATGCATCTCAAGCACTGATTTAATTCTAGTGGTGAGCTCTGTGGTAAAAACTGCCTAACTATGTTGCTTTTATTCCATGTTTTCAGATACTAATAACTTGATTAAATTCTCCAGAACTAGTCTTTATCATAGTTAGAAAAGTTTGGGCAAAGCTAACCTCAATTTTTTTTCCATTGTGATTTTTTTTTTGTTTTCTTTTGTTTTCTCCTTTTGGCTTGTGGAAGGAATAAAACATATTACTACTGAAAAATGGGTGCAAATTCTTTTGAACTACTCTGCTACTGTCTGAAGATACTGAAAGTTGAACTCTGGTATGGAAGTTGCTGTGAGCCAAAATCGTGTTCTCTCTCTAGCTTGTGTTTCAGTGAAAGCAACGTTTGTTCAGACAAGTACCTGCCTTAGAAAGCTGCATGTTTTGCATGCACAGTGTTGATTTTCCCTTGGGTTTGCCACTAAACTCTTAAATCAGCCACTAAGGAACACTGCTGTGCATGAGGACAGGGAACTGCAGGGAAATCCAGCTGACAGTGTGGCATTGGTGCTGAACACATCATCACTGAGGTCAGGGGTGCTGACCTGTCCCTTTTTATCCCCAGTGTTCTCCTAACACTGTCCTAAAGCCTACTTTTACTTTCTTTGGGTGCCATGAGAGTAAAGATTGTCTTCTACTGAGAACCAGAAGGAGTGTGGGCAGCAGGGCAAGGGAGGTGATTCTGCCCCTCTGCTCTGCTCTGGGAGACCCACCTGGAATCCTGCACACAGCTCTGGGGCCTCAGCCTGAGAAGGACATGGAAGTGTTGGAGCAAGTGCAGAGGAGGCCACAGAGCTGCTCAGAGCACTGGAGCATCTCCCTGTGAGCACAGGCTGAGGGAGTTGGGGCTGTTGAGCCTGGAGAAGAGAAGGTTGTGTGGAGAGCTCAGAGCACCTTGCAGGAGCTGAAGGGGCTCCAGGGAAGCTGCAGAGGGATCTGTGTTAGGAGCTGCAGGGACAGCACAAGGGGCAATGGGCACAAACTGAAGGAGGGAAATTGAGGTTAGATGTTAGGCAGAAGTTTTGCCTGTTCTGGTGGTGAGACCCTGTCCCAGGGTGCCCAGGGAGGCTGTGGCTGCCCCAACCCTGGCAGTGTTCACAGCCAGGTTGGATGAGCCTTGAGCAACCTGCTCCGGTGGGAGGTGTCCCTGCCCAGGGCAGGGCTTGGGGCTGGGTCAGCTCTCAGCTCCATCCCAACCCCAAAATTCTCTGATTCTATGATTATGCAGGACCTGTGTGTTCCTGTGCCATCTGATCTCTAGACATGTGATGATGACATGTCTGTGTGTACCCAACACACAATTAGCAATGTCTAATAACACTTATGCTAAAAACATCTCCACATGTTTTAGAAAGGTGAGGAGCTGCAGGGACAGAGTTCTGAGGCTGAGGGACTTGCAGAGGCAATGGAGTGTCTGCCTGTCCCTGGCTTTTCTACAGTGTGTGAGTTTCAAAGAGTAGGGTTAACGTTTGTGTAAGAACTGTTGATCTTCATCAAAGAAACTTAGAAATATCAGAGGGTTGTTTGTTGCTTTAGGTTTTTTTTAATGAAAAAACTCAACTTATATTTCATACCTTTTCCAGTCTTAATATGAAAGACTTAGGACATCAACCTTTAAAGCATATTGATGCTTTCCATATACCCATATGCTTAACAGCACCTCCTATGAACAAGGGCTCAGCAAAGGAAAAAGGAACAAATTCCTTAGGTTTCTACAGCCTTTTACAGTCCATTGTGGACTTTTTTCTACAAGGTAAATCAGTTCTCTGCCCTGGTTCTGCTTTTCTTCCCTTCTCCAGTCCCATTTTAGAAATTGGGGATTTTTAAGCTTTCTGCTTCACTTGACTTCCTTGCTGTTTGTTTGTTTGATGTTAGGCTGAGGCACTAAATGATGTGTTTGTAGGGAATACAGAAGTTTTGAATCATTTGAATGTATTCTGTGTCAATTTATGGGGTGAGATTTAACATCAGATTGCTAATTGGGTGTATAATGAAAGTCTCTTTACTTGCAAATGTACTACCAACCTCTGCATTAGCTTAGTCTTTAAAGAAGAGGTTTCCTAACTTCTTCTACCTGACCCTGGGGTTATGAGGAATTATTTCCTACCAGCCTTAAGCAAAAGAGTAACTTTAAAAAAAAGCCCCATGTGTGGTATTGAGAAAGGAATATAAACCCAAGAGATCAACACAATTCATCATCAGTTTTCCTGTTTCTGGGAGCCTCCACCTTTGTTCCTGTCTGCTTTGATAGAAAGTGGCATTTTTAATCGGGTTTACATTGCATTGTTTTCTGCATTTCAGGTGCTATGTACCATAAATTCCATTTCAGCTGGAAGGGAAAGATAGATGACTAGCAGCATATGCATTGCTGTAAAACAATGTGCTTCACCTACATGTTGCCATCACGAGGCACAATTTGCAGTGAAATTAATTCTCCACTCACCCTCATTATTATGTTTAAATATATTCATAGAATCATAGAATCAAACAGGTTGGAAAAGACCTCAAAGATCAAGTCCAGCCCTACCATGGTCACTAGCCCATGGCACTAAGTGCCACATCCAGTCTCAGCTTGAAAACCTCCAGGGATGGGGAATCCACCACCTCCCTGGGCAGCACATTCCAATGCCTGAGCACTCTCTCTGCAAAAAATCTCTTCCTAAGATCCAACCTAACCCTCCCCTGGCAGAGCTTGCGTCTGTGCCCTCTTGTCCTGCTGCTGGTTGCCTGGGAGCAGAGCCCAACCCCCACCTGACTCCAACCTCCTGTCAGGGAGTTGCAGAGGGTGAGAAGGTCTCCCCTGAGCCTCCTCTTCTCCAGGCTGAACACCCCCAGCTCCCTCAGCCTCTCCTCATGCCACTTGTGCTCCAGTCCCTTCCCCAGCCTCGTTGCTCTGCTCTGGACCTGCTCCAGCCCCTCAATGTCCCTCCTGAACTGAGGGTCCCAGAACTGAGCACAGGATTGGTGATCTTTCCTTGATACCTGTGTTCTTTTCAACTTTTCTGGAAGTAGAGGGAAGGGCTAGAGAAAAGATAGTAGGTGACAAACCCAGAGAGGCTGTGGGGTCTCCAGCTCTGGAGATGCTCAGAACTTGGCTTGACTGTAGAGAGGGTTGGACCAGGTGACATCTAGAGGTCCAGTGCAGTCTAAGTTATTCACAGTTATGTGTTGCTTTGTTGCTGATTCTTATTTGAGTCATAATGTGCCCTGTCTCATACTAGAGTTCATAGCAGTCAAGAGCAAAGGGAAAGCAGTGCTGTCAGGTTGTGTTTCCAGTCTTAAATTAACCTTCAGGTTGCTTCATTGGTGTGGTTTTTGGATTCTCCTGAGATAACACACATCAAGAAACAAGGAATTTAATTTTCTCACACAAAATGGGATCATTATATTGTTCTCTTTTCAGTTTGTTATCACCATAACTGGCTGGTTTCTAATATACTGTTTGTATTTCTTACTGCTACTACCACTACTTATATCTGCATTTGAAGACAGTTACTTGATTTGGAATTGTCATCTTCATAATAAATCAGGATATTTCATCCTATAAATACATGACCTGGAAGGTGACTTTGCTTACTGATAAAAATTGATCTGCTCATGACTTATTTTTTGACATGTATAAATTTTGAAGTGTTTCAGTTCACCACTGTGGTACTATATCATTTTCCATTCCCAAGAGATTATTGCAGGCATATATATACATATATATATATACACATATATATATATAGGGTTTTGTATTCTTCTACATGTCCCTACTGATCCCTCTCAGGTTTCCTAAAGCATGAAACCTAAATTGGGGGAATTAATGCCTAGTAGGCATTTTACAAATGTGTATGAAAGCAGCATTCAAAGATTTGTATTTTGTCTTTCAGTGTGTTTGTGCTGAAGTTTAAATCCAGGAATCTGAGGTATCCAGGCCTGACACAGTGTAGTGCTGTGTATATATGTCCACTGTGGTTGTGAGGCAGCTTTTTGGTACTGGAACCAGAATAGCCACATTAAATTAGCACTCACCAGGAGCTTGTCAGTCCTGCTGAGGAACAGCTGTGTTAGTTCACTTGGAATTATGGAATCATCAAGGTTGGAGGAGACCTCTGAGGACATCGAGTCCAATCACTAACCTGTCAGGGCTGGAACCCCTAAACCCTAAATCAAATCCTCTAGTGCCACATCAGACACCTCTGAAACACCTCCAGGGTGTGTAAGTGCCTGATCAGCCTATTCAGGGACTGGGATATTGCCCAGGGAGGTGGTGCAGTCACCATCCCTGGAGGTGTTTCAGAGGTGTCTGATGTGGCACTGGAGGATCTGGGTTAGGGTTTGGGGGTTCCAGCAGTGACAGATTAGTGGTTGGACTCAATGATCTTCCAGGTTTCCTCCAGTCTTGATGAATCTAGGAGTCTATGAACAGACTCAGCATTCTCTTAAGGACATGCAAAGCAGAAGTTTTACAAAATGGTGATTATTTCTGCCATAATGTCCTGGGTCTCCTAAAGACTTTTATTTTTTTGCTCTCTACATCTGTGTGTTTTTTGAATGCTCTGTCTCTTGTTATGTGCAAACAAACTTAAACTTGTTTTTCAACCTGATGTACACCTAATTAGTACATTTCAATAAGCCTCATATTCTCCAGACATGAAAAACACATTCCAACAAGTAGCCAGATCTTTTTGGAGTAATTTTTGGTCATGTCTCTGAAGCATAGATATGTCCTTCTTGCAGGCAGAAGTCAATTCATCCAGGAAATCTGACGCTGGACCCTCGAACACATCAGGATTGAACCACTCTGCTGCTTCCCAGGAGCCCCAGCAGGATGGTGCAGCTAGAGCATCCCAGGATTCAGCCAGTGCAGTGGTATGGTGCATCTGGAATCCTCATTAAGACTGTACTTCATTAATTTCTTCTAGAGCTTAGATACTTCTATGTGAAACCTCTGTGTAAACTTGAGCTAATAGTGTGCTGAATCACTTTTGGAACTAGCTGCTTTCCCTTCTCTTAAAAGCAAGAAATAATGTTATTTTAGGAATATTTGCTCCCAGTTGTTCCTTTTTATGTATGGGTTTAGCAGCTCATTAGAACTGTGGTGTCCCAAGTACTACAACTCACCATCTGCATAACGTGGCACAGGTTTTCCTCAATAAAATTCTTAGCCAGAGGGAAAACATATTCCAGGATGAATGAAGATTATCTTCCTGGGGTTTATAACCTCTCAAGGAAGTCTGAAGCATTCTTACCCTCTGAGGTATGACACTGGTGTTGGAACACTCCTAGGTGTGGGTTTACATAATGGTTTGGGACGTGACTGGGGCCTGGCCATGGGCCAAGGCAGCTGCTCCTGGGACTGTGGTAAATGCAATCTAAATTCACTGATAAATTGCAGGCAAATCCCAGCTAAGCTGCCTTTTTGAGAGAGGATGGGGCTGCAGATTGGTTAAAAACCCCCCAAAAGATGTCAAATAACATCAGACCATCTGGTGTGTGTTTGCAATGTATTTTTGAGCTATGGAGAAATATAAACATGCTAATAGCATAGGTTTTTTTCTCCCCCCACAATGAGGATTGTTCAGGATTTTTAATAAATCATTTTATTTTATTCTTCCCATCACAAATCCTGGCTAATCTAATAGAACAAGCTGACACACCAAGGCATGGCTGGCATTTTCTTGAGGAATAAGAGACTTTTTTTCTTGATTAATCCCATTTTTAAGAAAATTGCTTCAATCAGTTATGCTGATTTAAGAAGTCATGATTAACTGAACTTGCAGCAGAATAGTCCCATGGGAAATGAGACCTTTAAATGTAAAAATATTTATGTGTGCAGAGTGACAGTGGATGGGAAGCTCCCCATGAGCTGCAGTGTGAGCTCAGCCCAGAAAGCCAATGGAATCCTGGGCTGAGCCACAGGAGTGTGGGCAGCAGGGCAAGGGAGGTGATTCTGCCCCTCTGCTCTGCTTGGAGTAGGGCTGGAGAGAGGTGTGGGATGTGTGTCCTGCCAGGGCTGAGGGAGAGGAGAGAGGGAATGGCCTTGAGCTGAGCCAGGGCAGAGTCAGATTGGGTGTGAGGAGAAATGTTTTGCCTGTTGTGGTGTTGAGGCCCTGGGATATTGCCCAGGGAGGTGGTGCAGTCACCATCCCTGGAGGTGTTTCAGAGGTGTCTGATGTGGCACTGGAGGATCTGGGTTAGGGTTTGGGGGTTCCAGCAGGGACAGGTTCATGGTTGGACTTGATGATCCTAGAGATCTCCTCCAACCTCAATGATTCTATGATTCTATGGTTTTTAAATTTAAAATTTGCAGTGTTGGGCAGATGTGTGTGACAGCCAGTGCTACTTACTTTTGATGGTAAGATGATGGATCATACTGCTGTACGTTTTTCCCCCTTTTTATTTCTTTTGAAGCTGTTTGAAGAAGATTAACATTTTGCTGCTGCATTGGCAGTTCTTCAGTCCTGAATTCACTTCTCTCCCTTTCCCCTTCTGGCAGATGAGAGTATAGATGAATCTAGGAACTTTTTTTTTTCAAAGACTTGGCTTCCCTCAGTCTTAGTTTTCCTTGGCATGACGAGCTTTCAAGTGAGTTCAGCATGAAGCAGAATTACTTTCTTCTGCAGAGTAGTGGAAGTCATAGTGAGCTGCTCATAATGTGCTTGGCTGTCTCTGCTGATAAAATATATCTTTTGAAAACATTTGTCTTTGAAGCTACCCAAGCTACCCAGGCAAGAAAGGTCTGTAAACAGGCAGGTTGTCAAATGTGGTGTCAGTACTTCCTTGCTGATAATAAACAGTGTCAAGTACTAATGATGAGGAGGTAGAGAAGGAAGGTCTCTTCCCTGTCCCTCTTCCTCTTCTTAGTGAAATCACTGACTAGGTGAAAATTTTGAATTCTCCTCCCACATGCAGAACATGTGGCTAAAGAGTCATGAGACTAAGTGCTGTTTACTGTCTTGTGGATTGTCAAACTTGGTACACAGTTGAGGACATTGCCTAGCAGGCCATGTGGAAAGGGGATCTTTTAGAGGTGTAGTAGCTGAAACAATGCTCAAGGTTACGGATGTTCATGGAATCACAGAACCACCAAGGTTGGAGGAGACCTCTAAGATCATCAGGTCCAACCATGAACCTGTCACTGCTGGAACCCCCAAACCCTAACCCAGATCCTCCAGTGCCACATCAGACACCTCTGAAACACCT